CTTAGCTTATCTAAAGTAGTATGGAATAAATATCTAAGTTCTTTGCCCCTGTAGTTAACTCGTCTAAAAGTAGAGATATCTCGAGAGCCTCATTAAAGATGTGTGGGGGATGGCACGGACACCACACCAATCATTGATACTTTATTCAATACCAACCCAACCTTATCATAATTATATCTTGTAGAAGTTAGTATGGGTTGAAAACGGCGTGTAGTTGCTCAGTAACACGACATTGGGTTAGTATAACTTAGTACAACTTAATAGACATAACACAACACAACTTAACTCAATACTAACACACAACACAATCTAAACACAACACAACTCAACTTAACTCAACCCAACCCAACTCAACCCAACTTAACTTAACTCAACTGAATGTGAAAAAAGAAATCTCTCTCACAGGGAATCGAACCCTGGTCCCCCGCGTGACAAGCGAGAATGATAACCACTACACCATGAGAGATCAAGAGGAAGCCATGTGTTTTAAAGAGAAAGATGAAGTTTGCTAGTCATCACACCACCTGTCTAATAAAGCGAAAAGAATTTGCAATCCCATGGCCAGTGTTAAAAAGCTATTTAAGGCCCTTAAAGACTCGCCTGGTAAAGGAGTTAAAAGACATATTGCCCAAGAAATTATTAGTACTTATTGTCGAGTTTCTGCTATTTCTAATTTACTATTTACTGAGACTCTTTCTTTATCTGAAAGCACTACCTGGGAGGACCGAGTAGCTGCTTCGCGAGTGATTGAAGAGATGGCTAGGTGTGGATCTATTTGTGAGTCGTTTATCTTAAAAGAATATTCCTTATCTCTTGATATTGATGAAGTTCTAGCCCGGCCTAAGTTCTTAGCTGCTTATTACAACGGACAAGAGGACTCTAAGGCTAAAGGCAAGAGCTTTATCGATCTAGAAGACCATAACGTTGTCCTTAGTCTTAGTAACATCAAAATTCCTGGTGTAGCTGCTAAAGATAAAGATAAAAAGGACGAAGGAGGACTCTTCAAGCGCAAGAAGGCTAAAGAGAGAAAAGAAGACCTTTTAGAGAAGAAAGAGATTGAGTCGGCTGAAGGGTTTTATAGTGCGGTATTAAGTAATTTAGAGTCCTATACCTGGGAGACTAGGCATGGGGCAGCTTTAGTTCTATTGGGACTCTTCCGGGGCATGCACTTGCGGGAGTCTCAGGTTTTAACAAGTAATACTTTAGATAGTGGGCGGTTTTTAAGGCCTTTATTAGTGACTTTGATGTTAGATAGGTTTAATGATTATGAGATGGATGTAGCTTTATCACCAGTACGAGAAACGGTCGGTAAGGCCTTACAGGAACTCTATGGCTTCTTACCGGGTGGAGTGGCAGCAGCAACTCTTTCCTTATTAGCAACTTTAGGTGGGTATGAAGAGTGGCAGGTTAAGTACAGTGGACTAATTGGAGTACGGTGTATCTTAGGATCGGCTGGTCTGCAATTAACGCCTAAAATTGCGGCTAGTATTGGTGAGGTCTGTTTAGGCCTACTAAACGACTTTGATGAGGACGTAAAGGGAATGGCAGCTTCTATTTTAGAAGGTCTAGTTAGTTCACGGGCGGCTGAAGGCGAGAATAAGCAAATGCCGGTCTCAGGAGATAAGATAGTTGAATTGTGCTGGGAAGCTTTGGCTGAAGAGGAAGACTTGGCGGCAGCTAAGGCTAAGATCATTGCTTTAATGGAGACTTTGCGGAAATTAGGTTGTTCTTTAGGCGAGTTAGATAAGGAGCAGTATTTATCTTTGTTGCGACTAGTACGTAATTCAATTGATAGTGTACGTTTGGCTGTTCTTCAACTCTTAGAATCAGTGCCAGTTGTATCTCCACGTGATGCTTTATCTGCTTTGATGTTTAGTATGCTTATGGAGACAGAAGAGGAGATTTCACGACGGACTAGACCGGTTTTAGCTAAGGTAGTTAAGTCAGTAGGTGAGAAAGACTTAAAATCGGTAGTTGAAGCTATGCTGCCTTTGATTTGTGCATCTCCGAGTAGTGGTGATGCGTTGAAGAAATTAGGGACTTTGATTGTGATTGGTGAGACTGATATTTGTGTTTCTGATGATGGGTGTAAGGCAGCTGGACCGGAACGAGTGCTTTTTGGCCGAGTAGCTCTTTTTGAAGCGATTATGGATATGCCTGAGACTCGGGCTGTGGCCAAGTCGTTTTTCAAGAGTAGTAGTCGGCCTTTGCCCTACTTTGGACTCTTTAAAGGAGTATTAAGCATAAGTATGGGTCAAGCAGGGTTAGAAGAGTTTCTGGAAGTTGAAGCTAAGCTAGAGAATAATGGAGATCTTAATCGGGGTGTATTTGCTCTGGTTAGGATAGGACTAGGTAAGGCTCCAACTGAAAGTTACTCGGCTTTACTTTATCTATTTATGCTACTTACTCCAATGCCGCTACTAAGACTACTTTCACGTACGATTCGCCAAATGCTAATACAAGCAAATCGACCAGTAGATACGCAAGCGAGTTCTAATTCGCATAGTAAGTGCTTGGAAGATCTGCTTAATTTCGCCGTTGAAGCCGTTTGTAAGCGCGAAGAAGAGTTACAACGTGAAGATGCCAATCGACTAGCTGAAAAGGAAGATAAGAAACCAAAAGAAAGAGAGGTTAAACGGCCTAAAGTAGCCGATGACATCCCAGAAGATGAAGAGCCCTGGCGACTTCAAGTCCTCTTCCAAGAACTAGGCGATGAGTTCTTAAGTACTCCCAGCTTCCAAAGTCTTAAACAGAACCCAACTCGTGCAGTTTCTTTCCTTAAGTCTACTTTAAGTTGTTTTACGCGCTTAGAAGAGTTAGTCTTTGCCTTTAAACCTGCGATTGATTTACTAGTCCCAGAAGTAGTTGGGTTTTTAATAGGTAGAGATAGTGCTTTAAATGAACTATTTGTGCTGCAAATGAAAGATATTCTTGATAAAATGCCCAGTAATCCAGCTGGTAATAATTATGCTAAGCAATTAGTCTTCTTAGAAGCATGCATTCCTTCTTCTCGGCCTGATTTACTAGTTGTTCTGGTCTTCCCCTTGATTAGAACAATGAACGTAGTGTTTAGTGCTCCTGGTGTTCGTGAAGCAGCTTCTAAAGCCTTTTCGGCTCTTGTGCCTTTTATGTACTTAAAGAGTCCGGTTGTTTGTGCCCATGATACTCTTAGGGCTCTAGTTCTTTCGGAAAGGTCTAAGATTGAAGATCTACATCGCCGTGATGACTTAAGTTCTGTACCGATGAAGGTCACTCTTCGGGAGTACCAGAAGAAAGGAATTGAGTGGCTAGGGTTCTTGCATAAGAGTGGACTGTCCGGTATGTTATGCGATGACATGGGACTTGGTAAGACTGTGCAGGTTCTAGCTTTTATAGCCCTACAGCAGACTAAGACTAAACAACCGGGTCCAGTTCTAGTTATGTGTCCTTCGGCCTTAACTGGTCATTGGCATACAGAGGTAGACTCTCTCTTCCCTACTCTTAGCAGTACAACCATTCAGGACTTCAAGGGAGTTGGGATTTGTGTTGCTTCTTATGATAAGTTTAGAATGAACTATGAAGCATTTACACAGTATAATTGGCACTATCTTGTTCTTGATGAAGGTCATATTATTAAGAATGCTAACACAGTTCTTCATGCCCGAGTTAAGATGTTAAGAGCCCAGAATAAGATTCTACTAAGTGGAACGCCGATTCAAAACTCGGTGGCTGAGCTTTGGGCCTTGTTTGACATTCTTATGCCGGGATACTTAGGAAGTGAGAAAGAGTTTGGGGCTGAGTACTTAAGACCTATTATGCGCGGTCGTGAGGATAAAGGTACACTAGCGGAAGCTGAAGAAGCTCGGAAAAAGTTGGAAGCTCTGCACCAGCGCGTTCTTCCTTTTATGTTGCGGCGGATGAAAGAGGCTGTTTTGGCTGACTTACCGCCTAAGGTAATTACGGATGTACGGGTGCAGATGGAAGAAGTGCAGCGGAAGATTTATGAGGAGTTACTTAGTGAAGGAGATACGGCGGCCGAGTATGGTGAAGTGTCTACTTCATCGCGAAGCTTTGCTCATCTCTCTAAACTTATTCGTACATGTTCTCATCCAGGTCTCTTATCAAAGACTGATGATCCTTTAGGGTTGAGTTGTGCGGAACGGGCTAAGCTACCTTCTGGGAAGATGTTGGCTTTACTGGACTTGTTAAAGACTATGGTAGGTACGAGTAAGGTCTTGGTTTTCTGTCAGTATAAGGCGACTATTGATATTGTATCGGCAACGGTGGCGGAAGTAATGCCGGAGGTGCGCTGGTGTCGGTTGGATGGCACGGTTAAGGGCGACGAAAGAGCAGCACTGGCCAAACGGTTTAATGGCGACCCGGAGTTATCTATTATGTACTTAAGCACGCATGCGGGTGGGTTGGGTCTTAACTTGACTGGTGCCGATGTAGTGATCTTCTTTGAACACGACTGGAACCCGATGATGGACTTACAGGCGATGGATCGAGCCCATCGACTTGGGCAAAAGCGGTCGGTGAGTGTCTTCCGGCTTATTACTGAGCGCACGATTGAAGAGAGTATTATGTCTCTGCAGAACTTCAAGCGGTACATTGCTGGTGCTATTGTTAACCAGCAAAATGTTGAGATTGAAAGCATGGATACGGCCAATGCTCTAGAGCGCTTTGGCAAGGAGAAGACTTCAGCAGCACCAGTTGATAAAGAAGATGAATATCGTGATCTGTTTTAGGTATCACAACCAGATGACCTCAATACCACTCAAACATCTCTATCAAACACCTCTATCTAATACCTCTATCTAAACTAGTAATAAAGTAGTATAATTCACTTAATTCATCTAACTAATTCAACCATTATATCTAGCCACCTCACCTCACTTCACTTCACACCACACCACTTCACTCCAACCCAAAACCAATACCAACTCTATCTTATCTCACTACCCTTCAAATTATTCACAGCACCACCAAACACTAACAACTTACACCAACTCAGTACCAACTCAGTACCAACTCAGTACCAACTTAGTGCCAACTCTATCTTAAACAGATCCTAAACCGGCCCTAATCCAAATACTAACCCAACACCTAACCTAACTCAACTCCACCTAACACCTAACCCAACTTAATACTAAACTAATATTAAACTAACGCGAGTTCTATTTGTTTTAGGTGATATAATGAATTGGAGGTCTTGTCATAATTGGGGTTTGTTTGTAAATAATGCGGAGGTTTATGTTCTTCAGTGAACACTCGGCTATCTCAAGTGACGATTTTATGGAGAAATATAGCCTGCCTAAACGCGGACCGGCGTTTGCTAAGGAGTACGAGCGTATTTTCCAAGATCGTCTACCAATGACTTTGCACCAGGAAACTCCGGAGAAGCCAGAGTTTGTTGAGAAACGGGCTGGGCCTATTCGCTGTACCAAAGTCAAAGGTCTGGCTGATGACTTCTATAGCAGTCTTTTGGACTGGCAAGGAAGTAATATTGTTTTTGCCTTAGACGAACGCGTCTTTGTTCAAAATTTCCTTACCAGTCGCATCTCACTGATTGCTCGACTTAGCAGTACATACATTACGTCGGTTAAGCTTTCTCCAGATGGATCTTGTATTGGGGCTGGCACTTGTACCGGTGATGTTGCGGTAATTGACTTGCAGGGTAAAATCATCACTCGCCGGCATCAGCACAAGTCCCGGATTGGCGTACTTGAATGGGATGGCCGCCAGATGCTTACTGGGAGTCGAGATAGGTCGATTAGGTACATTGATCCGCGCTCTCCTGAGGATCCTCGGGCTGTAATTGTACATACCCAGGAGGTTTGCGGCCTGGCCTTTTCACCGACCGGTGCCTACCTGGCCTCAGGCGGCAACGATAACAAAGTGTTCGTCCTGGATGGTCGCGCCCACTCCTCGGTGGTGCACACCATTTCGGCCCATAAGGCAGCAGTTAAAGCTATTGGCTGGTGTCCTGATCGTACGGATTTGCTGGCTTCAGGTGGGGGTACGGCCGACCGAACCGTTAAGATTTGGCAAATAGCTGGTAATTTGGAAAAGCTACTTGACTCCATTGACTACGGCTCACAAGTCTGTAACCTCAAATGGACCAAAAAGAATGAACTGATCACCACCCATGGCTACTCGCAAAATGACATTCGTGTTCTTGATGTGAGTAAGAAGAAACAGACGCGAGTGTTTGAAGGCCACAAGAACCGGGTTATTCATTTTGGAATGAGTCCCGATGAAGAGTACTTTGCCACCGGCTCGGGCGATGAAACAGTCTGTGTTTGGCGGGCCCGTGAAAATGATCTAGCCAACTTCCCAGTACGGTAGTCTGTTTGCTTGCTATGCCAACCAAATGTATAAAACAGGTCCAGCTCTCTAACACATCATGGACAAAAACAAAGAAGACAGCCCCGATAAGTATGTCTCTTTTAACATCTCTGATCTACCTACTTATGGGTATCTCTACAAAGAAGAGGATGAGAAAGGCTTTAACGACGACTTCAGCTTTTCTATCTCAAAAGAGCCTAAATTTGGCGGGGCTCTTCTAGCCGATGGCCTTTCTCCATTCCTCGGCAAATACCCAGCCAAGCCCGAGCTTCATGAGCCACAATCTCATCCCAAAGGCCCAATAGACCTTTTCAAGGGCCTCCCCGAGACCGCCAACACTCTTGGCTACCAGCCGCCAATGGGTCTTCCCAAAGAATACCCTCCCTACAAGAAAGCCCCACCCAAAGACCCCATGGAGAAGTACAAAGCCTTTGGCTACTCACCTTACGGCCAAAGTGAAGAGCAGGCCATCTTTGTCAATGCCAACCAATACCCCTACATTAAACGCCGCAAAGAAAGACGAGACTACCTGGACTCCCTAGAAAAGAAGAAAGACGTCGGCTACCAACACGAAAGCCGGCATAATCACGCAATGAAGCGTCCTAGAGCGCCATCTGGGCGATTTCTTACCAAAGAAGAGGCCATGCAGCAAGACCCAGAGGCAGATAAGCAATAAACGCATGACCATTTTTTCTTTATGGCTGCTAGGGAAAATGAGACTGTTCTTGATGCCTACTTAGAGTCAACTATTCTTCTTTACCTTGATATTCCTTATTTCCTGAATAATCCTTGGTATTTGTCTTTATGGCGGCGTTACTATGAGATAAAGAAAGATGCGGCTGTTCTCTTTCTGATGTTTGAGCGTAAAGTTGGTTTGTTTGGCTCTTGGCTGTATGTTGAGCTGTATGAGCATTTTCAGCGGCAGAATTGTCCTTCTTGCGCCCAGGAGATCATTCGCGAGGGTTTGAAGTCCCAGGCGTATCCTAGAGAGGATTTACTCGACAAAGCCGTGGCTGTTGCTGAGAAGAAGCATCCATTGGAGAAGCCGGCGCGAATTAACCTGTTTGGCCGTGAGTGGGTAAAGAAGAGCCGACTGGCCTATGATAGTGAGGCCTTTTTGGTGGGAGGATATCGACTGTCCTTCCTGGAGTACAAGATAGTCCGATATATAGAAGCAAGAGAGAGACTAATTGAAGAAGAGACTGAAAAGGGTCTGAATGAAGTGTCCTTGCTCTTTGGGTCGAGTCGAGTAGGCCAGTCTCAGCACAAGGCGGCCTTAGATGAGATTATTGCCGGTGAAACTACAAGAACGGCTATTGGAGATGTGGAAAGTACGAGTATTAATGTGCTCGAAGAAACACGGGATGAAAAGGTCTTACAAACTCACCGAGTAAGTGGTTCAGCCGCAGATAATGTAGACTCGAGTTGTCCGTCAAGACTTAACTCGGCAGCTGCCCAACTAAACCAACAAACTATGAACCAGTTCATGCCAGGTGCTGACTCTCTTATTCTAAGCGATCTTAAAGAGATCTCCACGCCTCTAGTCAAACGACCTAAACTAGCAGATCTTTCAGTTGATGGCCAAGTAGGCAATTTAGTAAACAACGAAGTAAGCACTCTAGCAAACAACACAATACTAGCTCCAGTAGATACCGTAAATACTAATCCTACCCAGATTCCAACCGCGCAAACAAGTATATTGCTGGAAAGCAACCGGTCCTTGCTGAATGACCTAGTTGGTATAGTAGATGAACTACCCACGGCTAGTCCAATTGCCCGGCCAGATACCCCGCCCCCCGTAATCGACTCCGAGTTAAGTAAAACCCCAGCCCCTATCTCTATTCCAATTCCACCCGCCCCGGGCGATAAACTAGTCATTGCTGGCACTCTTTATATTGCTAAAAAGACTCTTGGTGGCCAAACCTTCCTAGTAACTCGTATTGCTCGACTAGGTGATGGCCATGTTACTCTTAATGCTCGCGACTATGCCCTGAAGGTTCGACCTCTTCCCCAAACTCCGGAGATCGAGCTCAGCCGGCGTTTGAAAGCCAACTCACACTGTATTCCCCTGGAAGAAGTATTTGAATCGAGTTGCCAGCTCCTTTGTCTCTTTCCTTATCTCGAAATGGGATCACTTAAAACAGCCGTCCTTCTTCTAAAGAACCAATACGGACATTTACCTGAGGTACTAGCCGCCCATTATATCCACCAGCTACTGCGTATCAGTCAAGATCTGGCCCAGCAAGGCATTAGCCTTCTTAACTGCACAGAAGATGACTTTGTTCTAGCCGCCGAGGATAATCGAATTGAGCTCAAACTAGCCTCTTATGGTAATCTAGTCCCCACAGACGTATCCTCGGCTTCTAATTTAGCTACCAATACCAATACTATGCCTGCCATCACTTTCTTGACCACCAGCACCAACATAGTCTATTCAGGCGAGACTCTTCACCCCCAGCCATCCGCTCAGTGGCAAGGTCGTCTGCAAAGCTACCTTACACAACCTAAAGAATCCTCTGAGCTTCAGAACCTGTTTATCTCCCAAGAGGTGTCCATCTATGAGTGCAGCTAGAATCAATTACAGCACATTGTGTGGCAATACTGTAATTCGGTTATGTTATGTTGTGTTACGTTATGTTACGTTGCGTTACGTTTGGTTGGTTGGTTGGTTTAGTATATGAATTAGTTCTGTGATAGTAGTGCATTAGTAACATTTATTGATGATCCCAAGACAACACTAATCCAATACCAACTCAATATATCCCTAACCCATCACAATACAATACTAACTTAACACCAACTCAACTCAATACAATACTAACTTGACACTAACTCAACCCAATTCGATTTGAATTCTTAAAATAAATACAACTGATCCTGTACTCTAGTTTGGAAGACTTGAAGTCCCTTTTATTTTATCTACTTGGTTCTTCTATTTATGTGGCTGTACATCAAATAACTGGTGCAACGGCTTAGAGCACCACAAATTGGATTAGTGAAAGTAAGAAGACGATCTAATCTGATAGAACTTCTTGGGGGTGTACTTAGGACTCTTCCAAATTGTATAAACACTCGACACCAATGATAGATAAGAGTAGTTTTGATCTAAACAGTCCGAAATGCTCTCCAGAGTTGCACTGAACGCCTCCAAATCGTCATAAAAGGCCGGGGCATTCTCATGTAGATACTCCAGAACCTTGGCTACTGAGTTCTGTTCCAGGAGAGTAAAGATCTTAGGCGTCATACTCTCCTTCTTCCGATAGAGAATCTTGCCAATCAAGTGAAAGAAGGACACCTGGCTATCTGGCTCATCAATCACGTAGTGCTGCACCGAAGTCGGCAACTTAGCTAGCAGGCCGGCCTTGTGCAGGCTTTCTGGTACCTGAGGCAGCAAGAACTTCTGGTGCATGGCTCGTTGTGTAACCTTATTCAATCGAACATGGACAGCGCCTTGAATCTGCTTATAGAGATACGGAGATTCAGTTTCGAAAACAATCCCATGGTAGGCTTTCTTTTTGATTTGATAGTTATCACCAGCCACCCGCAATAAATAAACCGTGCGAGGATTCAAGCGATACTCAGACCACTCTAACTCACTGTCTAAGAGGACTAAGTCATAATCATACTTAGCACAGACACTCCGGATCAAAAAGGTCTTCCCACAGCCGGCAGGGCCCGAAACAACCACGGGTTTTTTCAGCACATCCAATAGGGCAGTCTCCAACTGTGAAACTTTCAACGGAGGATGCATAGCCAGCAAAAAAGAAACGAACAAAAAGATAAAGTTCCTTATCATTATTAAGTAGGTAGCGAGATAGAAAAGATGATGCAGAAGTTTCAGAGCCACGCGCCCACGCTTACAATCCGTGAAACTTCAACGACCAAAGAGACAATTTTTGGGGCCTTAAGATCAGAAGAAGAGAGCCTTAAAATCATAGATATGGCTCGAATGAATGTTTTACCCCGAGTAACGTCCCGTTTGACTGAGGAAGAGAGGCTTATGATTCGGCCCGGCAGTATTTATGTCTATGAGGAGGATGAGAGCGGGATTTCGCGTTGGACAGACGGCAAGATGTGGTCCTCGTCCAAAATATACGGCCGCTGCCTGATTTATTACCAGTTAGAGGCCCCGGAGAACAAGCAGGCGTTGGAATCAGCAAGAAGCGCCACTACCATAGAAGAGATTCTTCATGCAGGCAGACAAGCTATTTCTAATGAGGACGCACCGGTCAAGCGGGAGTCCACTAGGGACCCATCTGGGCTGATAAAGATGACTATTTCTTTAACATACCAAAAGAAAGTCTATCATCTAATTGCCTATACAACCACTAAGTTCATGCGAGAGTCCCAGCGCCTGCCGCTATGGGAAATGGTGGATGCCTGGAAGGTTCCACCCAATCTTCAGCTAAGAATGGCCTATCGCCGCAAAAGAGCCTCGCTTCAAGAGATAGATCGACCTGAAATACCAAATGCCTCTCCTCGCCGACAAGATAAGGATCCGCGCCGAACTCGATCCTGCCCCAACCTGCTTTCAGTTGAGACTCCCAGCTACTCGAGCAGCAAAAAAGCCCAAGATATTCTCAAGCTAGATCTTGATCTCGACTCCCGGTTCTTCAATAACACGCATCTTCTTAATACACACCTCAGTGTATCCGATGGCTTTAATCCCGCCAGTACTTTCAATATACCCAGCAACACCAACCCAACTGATAATCTCACCCCAACCAACAACATCAACTTATCTTTCTCCTGGGAGAGTGAGAACTACTTCATCTAAGCACTTACCTCACGTGCACGGCTTCTTATCTAGAACAAACCATTCTAAGTCAGACCAATAAACTACATACTACTAGAAGATTTATTGAACTAAGTAAGCTTTATCTTACTTCATTATATCCTATTTGAGCAGACCTCCACACACAGAACAACCCATCTCATCCTAGCCCATCTCATTCTAGCACACCACACCAACCTAACACTACACTACACCACACCACACCGACTGAATTAGTTATGGCAAATCCCGCTCAACAATGATGTAGTGAGAACAGCTAAAGCAGTCAATTAGCCGCTGGTGAGGGTGGCTGGCCCTATAGGTCTCGCCGCAGCGACAAACAACACCTCGGGATAGCTCAGCCAATGAAACAACTAGATAGGGAGGGCCCCGCTCTGGTTCTTCCTGGCGCGATAGAATAGACCGATAGGCTCGCTCAACAGCAATAAACCCTCGGGCAGTATCACTTCGACTTGAGTCCGGATGTGTTTCTTTGGCCCGCCGGCGAAATGCCCTCCTAACTTCCTCTTCTGAGGCATCTTCTCTAATCCCAAGAATGCTATAGGGATTGTCCTCTGACATATAAATTTCTAGGCAACGGTTGGAATACTAAACAAAGCAACAGACTGAAACATTGTCAGAAAACGTGCATTTATAGCGAAAACAAGCAACAACATATGAGGATACTCGGATTAGCCATTCTGATAGTAGCCAGTGCATACTGCTATGTGGATGTTGATGCCCGAGAAAGGTCCGGACCGTTCAAAACAGTTTTCTTCCTACGCCGACTTAGTCCTTCGCCCTTCAGCACTGGACTGCAAGAACGACCCTTACCAATGGGGGCCCACAAACGCATTGGGGCCGAAGAGAAGTTCTCCCCATTCCACTCCGTCTTGGTTTTAAGACGCCGCCGGCCCGAAGACATTCTCGAGTCAATGTTCCACCGAACTGAGAGCGCAGATAGCTTCATTAGAGACTTCTTAGTGTCGCACTTGCAACACATCCAAGAAATCGAGGCAACAACGCCTCCCAAGCGATTTAACACGGAAAAGATCTACAATGATATTTACCGCAAGTCCAAACACCCACCTAAGCTTGCACCAAAGCACCCAGCTCATAGAAGCCACCTCATTGAGGACGAAATTGACACAATTATGGCCAACGCCGCCAAGGAGCTTACTGTTCCAGAAGAAGCTGCCAACCGCGCTAGTATTGGCCAGCGCATTGGCAAGACCAAGAAGAAGGTCAGACGGGGCATTAAGAAGGCTAAGAAAGCACTAGGAAAGGGTGTGAGGCTGAACATGCTTACTATTCTTCTCTTTATAGTAATCGGTGTCGTTTCAGGATATGCTGGGTACTCCATGCGAAGAAATCCAGCTGCAGAGCATTATGCTCCATTAGCTAAATAGAAGGGCGCAACAGTAGAAGGTCTGCTAGGGCAGAGGGGCCAAGGGGCCCAATGAATAAATGTCTTCTTTATCTTCGCCGGTAGGCCTTGGCCTTCATCGGACAGTATTTAACAATATGGCCCTTGCGCTCACAATTAAAGCAAACCGCCGAGGACTTGTAGTTGGGCTTAACTAGCTGGTTTAACTGGGCTTGTTCCTTAGCATAGCACATAATGGTCTTAATCGTCTCCTGCCAAGTTGCTTCTGGCTCAACTCGTTCCCACAGACTTGGCATGTCAATTGCTCCCGCTACTTTCTCTATCTCCGCTAGAATCGATGCCTGAATAATGCCATCGACTGTTCCTAAGAAAGCACCCGTTGCTTCCTTGGCTGGGCTAGTATTGGCTTGTGGCAAGTCAGACTGTGTTGTGATTGTATGCATGTCATCTGCTTGTAGAGTGTTTTCTTCTATTATGTTGTGTTGTGGTGGAGTAGGTAGAGACGTGTCAGATTGAGGCATGTTATGCTCTTGAGTGATGGATGCTGGAGCAGTTTGGATGGGGGCGGCGTTGGGCTTAGAACTCTCCTCTTCATTAGCCGACAAAGAGCTGATCTCAGAATCACTATTTGGAGTAGATGGTAGAGGAGAGGCAGACAGGGCGGCTGCCGCAATACTAACCATACTAGGACCGGACTTGGCCTCAAGACTAGAGGTGGATGGGGCTTCTATGCCAGCAGCTAAACAGCCATGGCTTTGTAATAGCTCCTTAATCCTAGAGAGCCTTCTTTCTCCCCGAATGATCTCCTGTGCTATTTTGGCCTTAAGAGGCCCTAAGGGCTGGCTGTCATAGAGGGTATAAAGATCTTCCAAGTGCTTGGGAGCCGCAGCCTTAAGAATCTCCACCTCCCAAAGCAGAACCTTCCGCTGAACACCTCCCTTCTCAATGGCCAATAAAATGGCCTCCCGGCTACCTTCTTGATTTACCATTGGTTTATTTACAACAATCACTTAATATAGACGTGATCTAGCATTTAGATCGTCTTGTTTTTTTGGGCATGCAACAGAGCTACACAGACTTCATTCGTAGCGATCATAGCATGTTTACGCAGCGAATGATTCACATCATTCTACAGCGGCTTACAGCTCAAGGCGTTCAGGAAGGCATATTTCGCGCCAGCAAGAACGATCTTAGTATGAAAAGGCTCTACAAGAAACTCTTTCCTTCTTCGCAAAGTTCGTCTTCTTTAGTGGCAGCCCATCGGTTGAAGCTCCACTTGCAAGACGGAATGGAAAAAGAAGCTCTAGAACAGATGCGGAAGATTTCCTCCTTTACAGACTCTTCCATCTTTTGTCTTCTAAACCACTCCTTTCTACTAGCACTGATAGGTAAGATGCCTATGATTGTTGAAGCCTTCTTAAGCAAGGGGTTTCCGCCAAGCATTAACTCACGAGTCCTAGGCACCCACAAAAACATTGTCTTTCCTACTTACTTTCTCTTGGCCCTGGCCGTCCAGAACCTTTCCATTATCATGCTCTTCTTTAAGCGCAACATTGACTATTTGGAAACCTGGCATGGCTTAGGCCCGGTGCACTTAGCGGCCGTCAATCCAGATATTAGGGTGTTAGACATGGTCCTGGGCCACGGAAATGCCCTAGAGTATACCACGACAATGCACTACTCTTTACTCTGCAGTCTATCCAAGAAGGAAACGGATTTACAGAAGATGATAGGCGGCCGACCAATCTATCCAATTGACCTAGCGGCCGTGGCCGGAAACTGGGGCGCTCTTCTCCTTCTTATAAAGAAAGCTCCTAAGTCAGCCAAGCTTTCTCAGAACCTCCTGCACATTCTCAATGGGCTTGACATGAGTATTAATGCGATTCAGCAAGGAGCAACCATTGACCAGACGTTATTTGACGGCTCAACTGTCCTTCATACTAAGGCCTACAGCAATCGAGCGGCCATGGCTGCCTTCTATCTTGGCTGCGGCCTGTCCACCGAAGAGAAGAACAAGAAGGGCGATACACCCCTTCTAGTTGCTCTCAAACAAAGTCACCAGGAAACCTCCTGGGTTCTTGTTCAACACGGTGCAATTGTTCCACCTACCTATGCCACCCATCCTATTATTCTGGCCATAAACGAAGGATGGGCACCAGACACCACCATACAGGACCAGATCAACTACTACTACCAAGCCGGCACACAGGCCCTTCCTCTCCCCAAGCCACCCAGCCGTTTCTCAATCACCGGAATACTGAACCCCATGAAGAAGAACTACAAATATGAAATGAACAAGCTCAACAACAAAATAGAGCGAATCAGCACCGCTATCCAAAGCACACTCACCGAGCTTCCCAAAGAAGAGATTTACGACCAATTCATCAAAATGGTCTCTAAACGGCCTCCAAGCAAAACCAACCCCAACACAATCTATCCATAATTCGCCGCAATCATAATCACCACCAACCCAACTATCGAATAAATAACACATAAATCACAACATTACAAAATCATCACAATAGGCCCCGATCTACCACGCGCATTATTACATTTCACACACGTACATGCAGCAAGCGCATCTATTGCAATACTACACCATACTACATCTCAACCCTAACCCAATAATACACCACACTACATCTCAACCCTAACCCAATAATACACCACACCACATCCCAACCCTAACTCAATACTACACTTTACTTTATAGCAGCCCATCAAATCAAATCACACCCTAACCCAATACTAACTCAACTCAACTTAACTTAACTTAACTTAATTCAATTCGGTAGTTTATTAAAAGTCACATTCCACTAAGGCCAGCTCATCGTTCTCAACCGAAGAAACATGAAGCTTGCCACTTTCAACCAGAAACTCAAAGGCACCCGCAATCTCCTCAGCGCTGTATCCATGCGACATAAGCATCTTTTGTGCTACAGCCTTCTTAAGCCCAGTATCGCCCTGGTTCCGTTGGAAGCACTCAATAGTATCCATATGAATCCGACTTAGAACTTTCGATGCCGCCGGTCGGTTCCACACCCCACTGTTATTCTCGGTATATCCCAGCAAGCTTTCATCCGCCTGCGCATCAGCCGCTAGTCCCGACTCCAACGGCGCCTGGCAACTGGCTACATTCTCCTGGTGCTGTTGAATACAAGTAAGCAAATGAAACGCCAAATAGTTCCCATCCTCAACTAACCCAATGTGTGTACAGTTAAGCACAGCCTTCTGATTATAAGCAGAAATAGAGCCAATAACCATAACAAAGTCTCCCTCCACTCGATCGGCTGCCAGCCGAGTAGCATTGGTATTGTTTTGCCAAATGCAGCAGTCAATGTGTCCGGTCCCGTCGTAGATCGTAAAGAGAAACGAATTCGAAGTTCGTTTTGATCCGCTCAGCCAGCCCACCACAAGCACATTGTGCACCGACCGGCCATCAATCATCATAACAGTAGATTTAGCCAAAGGCAGCTCCATATTAGCCAACTGCTTAGCCGTCAGTCGCCTAATCGAGTTGGTTCTGATTGTTTCCATGTCAACCGGAGATAGAATACTAGACATACAATAAAAAAAGTCCAAAGTACTAAAAGGTCTCTTAGATAGCCAAATAAGGAAAGAGTCTTTCCTAAAAAGGAAAGAAAATACTATACAATCGAAATCAAGTAAAAACAAAACCAAAATCAAAAGCAAGGTTGCCAACGACTAGGCTAGGACTTGCAAATTTTTTATGCCGCCGCTAAACGAAGCGATGTTTCAATACAAATCCGATATTTCCTCATTAACTGATGGACAAGGCTTTGTGCTAGCCCAACGAAACAAAGGCTGGGCTATTATTACCTCAATTGGCAAGTCGTATACGATCTATGATCTCTCTAATCTAAATACTGTAGAGAAAGGACCCGAGCAGTCCGACTCCGTTCGCATTGGCGCGTTCGGTAGATTTGCTGTAACACTTAGTAAGGAAGGCCAATTGGCCATATACAGTCGAGGCGCTCAGATTGTATCTGTTGAGCTACAAACTCGACCGGTTCAGATGCTTAGCATTGACACGGAGATATATTTAGCAAGTCCCCAAGGAATCGAAAGAGTAAGCATTGAGTCGTCCTTAGAAGGCGAGTTAGATACGCCCGGCCAGAAGATTACAGTCAAAACCGAAGTCTTAGAAGGACTAGTGAGTCCAAAAGGAGATAAGGAAGAGATAGATATTACGCACATGGTTCAAATTGGCCAGTCTAAGCTACTAGCTATAATAGCCAACCAGTCCATGCTTATCTACAACCCAGAAAAGAAGAAGACTGTCTACTGTTTATCCTGCACTCCCTTTATAGGCGCCACAGATATAGCCCAATCAGTCTCACCATCTATTCTAGCCGTCTCTTTACCCAAAGAAGTACTGATTATAGATATTAAGAAGGACCAAATCAGGCAGTGTATTCCTCTAGCCGGCGTACACTCTCTGGCCTTCCGCACTGATGTTTTAGGGTCTAAAGAGTTGGTGGCTGCGACTGCCACGACTTTACATAGGATTGATTTAGAGAAAGGGCTTATTACGGCTAAGATGAGTTTGCCCGGTTGTAAGACTAGCAAAACCAATAGAGCACGAACTTATATCCGATTTGTACCGGGTTTGCCTTTCTTAGTAGTTGCCCAGGCCAATGGCATCCAGGTCTTTGACTTCCGGTCAAAAATGGCCCTGCTTAAACGCCGAGCCGGAGTTGTATTCAGCCAGGACGCAGTAGCAACGTTCTTCCGTGACACCTTAGTGGTGGCTACTAATGAAAAGGTCTATGCTCTCTCCCTACGCAAAGAGACGCAAAGCAAAGAGATTGCTAACATAGATGCGAAAGGAGAGCCTGTAGCTATTTCAGCAGCAAAGGGCCATGTTCTAGTGACTTTTAAACAGTCCGTGCACACTCTAGAAGAGACAGTAGGCGGCCTAGCTAAGAAAAAGAACCTGGCGGAAGTATCGAAACAAAACTACCTGTCCGGCAGTCTTTCAGCCTGTCGGGAGTCGGCTATAATGATTCATCGCGAAAGTCCGACCGAAGTGCGAGTTTTGGCCATGTCATTGCGATCGGGGTTCCTACACAGTACTTTCACAGCGGCAGAGCCTCTAGCTTCTGCAATGGACTTTGCCGGACAAACAATCCATCTGCTCTATGAGACGCAAGTATTAAGCTTTACGACTTCTAGTGGCCAACTTAGTTCAACAATTACTATTCCTGCCTGTGCCATGGGAACAATCATTTCTTCCTTCCGAGAGTTGTACTATGTTACGTGCAGCAGCACAACGCTCTACTTTATTCAGAAGAGCGGCACAGTGCTTCGAGCATTGAGTAAACAAGAAGGCTCGCCATTGCTTGTTCGTACGACCAAGAACTCTAAATGGGTTTATGTACTGACGGCCCTAGATAATGGCCAAAGCGTCCTAGAAATCTTTGATATCGAAACAGCCACGCGTCTTACTCAGCTACACTTCCCAAACCAGCCCAAGAACATCTTGATCTCGCCCAATAACACTTCATTAGTAGTGATTACCGATCGAATCTTACTTTACAGCAACACAGCCATTATCCAATCCACCCCAGCTAGTACACAAAGTCTCCATCCCGGCACGGGCATCCAGTTCGAGCCACAAGTCAAAAGCCGACTACGACTCTTTATGGACTACAACCGCCAGGCCAATTCCAAGACCGAACTAGATAAACTCGGACCTTTAGACATGCTTAATCAAGAGAACATTGAGAACTTGCCCGCTGCCAACTACTCTGCCGATATACCCATTCAGGCCCTTCTAGAAACAAACTGTCCTATCTCCAAGATCATTTCCTACCTCAAAGAAGTATCCGATCCTACTACTCTTTTGACCAGTCTTACCCAGCAACTAGAGACGCACTACAACATCAGCGAAGTGCTCATCAACCGCCTTCTTCACTTCCGCCGCAAAGACATTGATCTTCAACAGGCCCAAGAGGCCATCCAACAAAGAGAGGGCACCACAGAGCGACTTATTAACCTCTATCTCTCGGTTCTTTCGCTTTCGCAATAAACAATTACCTAACTATTCAATGTGGATGACCAATCTTATCTCAACATATCTCATTCTATCGTAATGTAATGTAACTTTATATTATGTTATCGTAATGCAACTCTATATTATCCTATCGTAATGTAATGTAACTCTATTTTATTTGATCTTATCATAATGTAAATCTATCTTATCACATTCTATCTTAGTGTAATGTAACTCTATCTTATCTTATCAGAACTTAATTATATCTTAACACATTCGATCTTATCACATTCTATCTTAACCCAATGTAACTCTATATTATCTTATCAGAACTTAATTATATCTTAACAATGCATTTGGCTGTAATTCTTTAGAACTGCATGGTTAGTTGATTTGTGTTCCAGGTATTTAAGCGCGGATAACTATTTATTGATGGAACAGCATCTTCTTTCTCTCTTATCAAAGATATTTAGCAAAGAAACCCTTTTAATTGAAGATAACGGCTCACTATACCTAGAAAGCACACCGTCTATTTCCTTTACCGAAATAGAGCCCTTTACGCCCATAAGCTAGCATTGTATAGGCTTACTACGGCATTAAGTTAAGTTTACCCCAGCCAATTAGGGCATTAAGCAACCACATAGCTCAATACCCACTTAACTCAACTCAACTCAATCTTATGCCAACTCAATCTTCTCTTAACCTAATCTTCTCTCAACATAATCCCCTCTTAACCCAACCGCATCTTAACGCTGTTTAGGTGGGTACTTTTCAGCTAATTCTTTCTGAATTCGTTCTTCCTCCTTACGAACATCATCCATAGTCATGTCCTTCCACTCATCTTCCAGTTGCAAGACCTCTTGGTGTCCTTGAATAAAGATCTTTCTTATAAACCGCTCAATGTCCCCAATATATCGCTTTCCCAAGAAAGTCATGTGGAAGTCAACTTGCAATCGTTTGAAAATAGTCATGACCTTCCCGCCCTTTTGCTCCCAGCCAACTGGATACTTCCCCGTCAAGTCCTTTAGCTCCTTTCCAGGTCCTGGTACAGCCAACTGCACATCCCTAAATAGATCTAACACTTCACAAGATTCAGCTGCAGGCAAGTTCTCAAAAGGATCTACAGCCGGCCGATAGTCCGGGAAGAACATTGTGTCTATTCTAGCTGTAAACTTCTTCTCCGACAAAGCACCACTTGTGTACATCGTTAAGCATTTAGGGAATGCATTATAGGACACTTCAGTCATTGTCAAAGATCCCGACGGAGCAACCGCTCTAAATATACCCGGCACTTTATTGGCAAAGTCTAATAACTTGACTGTAAATTGGCAGTCACCCAATACTTCGTGTGTTGCCGGTTTGTTTTCCAGCACACTAACCCGCATCCCGCCATTAGCTTCCCTCATACTTACACAGCAAGTCGTATGTAAATGGCCAATATTATATTCATCTAAAGAATAAGGCATATAAATGACATACAAGGTAGTCTTCTGTGGCATCTTCCCAATTTTTAAAAAGACTAATTAAATAGGCTATTTAGGTCAGAAAGCTTCTAGTCGGCTTAAATAGTCCATCAATTAACCAATTCTCTTAAGCCATATAAATTGATTTAGCACCCCAATTGGCCCAATTACTTAATTACACCATCATTTCAAGTACTAACCCATTACCACCCCATTACCAACTCAGTATCAACTCAATTCAGTACTAACTCAATACCACATTGCCCGCATAATCAATAAATTGAACTCAATACCAACTTAAACTAACCCAACCCAATCCAATACCAATCACAAACCAACTCAACCCAACTCAATAATAAATCAGCTGCAGCAACACCACCTAACTCAACCAAACACAACCCAACTCAACCAAACTCAACCCAACTCAACCAAACTCAACCCAACTCAACCCAACACCACTCAAACTATCTTAATATCTCAAAACCATTCCAATAGTTACTTTTAGAAGACTTTATTTTAGAATATGACCAGGGAGTCAATGGAAATGAATAAGCAACGTATTTGGTACAGTAATACACCTATTAAAATGGTGGATATAAGTGAGACCTTTGTTGGTATTGGAAAGATAGTCATTAGTGGCCGAGCGCTTTATAGGTATATAGAAGAGACGTACGGCTTAGTCAGTGCTAGTTTGCCTTTGGCTTTGGTAAGAAAGATTGCCGAGTCTATTTCTTACAATCTGATGATTGCTGGGTTTAAAGAGAGTTACATTGTAATGTTTAGGGATGAGGAGGAGGAAGGAGCTGTAAGCATTTGCACTAGGGAGTGTATTTCTGTCTTAGCAGCTGATGGCGATTTGCCGGTGCTGTGGTTCTCTTCAGCACGAAGTAGTGAGTTTGTGAAGTTCTTGAAGGACGAGCATATTTGCTTAGTAACAGCTTACCACGATGATCGATCGTTGGCTTTTTTGAATATGGTCTTGGGTCTATCTCTTTATGCTGGTATTTTAAGTCCTACTACCTTCCGAGCACCGCGACTCTACCTCTTCGTACTTGATCCTTCCCAGTACAACCACGACTTAAGTATTGAGTTGAGTGAGAGGTGTAGTGGTGAAGTAAGTGGTACGTGTAGTAGTGAAGTAAATGGTGATATTGAATTGGAGGTTAATCGGCTAGTGGAGTCATACTACGGTCAAGAGAAGGCTGCCCACGTTAAAAATGTGCTAGTGAACGGAAAGGGCTTGAAGTACTATCCAACTGAACGGCCCCAGGCTTTGCCAAAAGAGGTAGTATCTGGTATCTACCAGACCATTCGTAGTACCGAGACTCTGGTGCTTTCTGATAGTTTAGATGGCGTGCTTCTACAGAGTAATGAACCGGAACACTCATTGGCCATTCCAGATAGTTTAGAGCCTTCTTCAACTTCGTCTAGTTCTTACTTGCCTACCCAGATGGCCACTGTTACTTTCTACAACGAGGAACAAGAGAAAACTTTCCGTGCCGAACAGATGTACATTGAAAGTCTGAAGAAAACAGCCCAGTCCTTGCACGAAGGCAAGCATTTGCACCCGCCAATTAGTCTAGTAACGGCCAAACCCGATAAGAAGAAGAAAGAAACCAAAGAAAAGATCAGCAAGAAACAGCAAGAAATCATTGATCGCAACAATCTCCAGAAAGAACAAGAGGCTAAAAAGAAGGACATTGCTTTCTTAAAGAGCTTTTTAGCCAAGTATCAGGCGTTTGCTACGGTTTATGAGAAAAGAAGGCATTTAGAGTCTTTTGTCCCTCGGATTCACTCACCGTTTATCTGCTTAAAGGTCTTACTCTTGCGTTTAGAGTTCTATTTGGACTTATGGGCCCTTGAGAAGCGCAAAAAACGGCCTAACGAGAAGGACTTGGTCTCTATTTACATGGACGCACTGACTTTCGTGGAAAAGTACCAGAATTTGGCATCACTAACGGAATTAGAGTATGTACTGCAGACTTTGTTGGACTTAGGCTTTGCCGCCACGGTTTTAGAGGTGTGCCAGAAGTATCAGATTAGTTATACGAACAAGCGCGATCCAAACAGTCAGATGCTATTTGCTAAGCGAACCCCGGTTAGTCTTTCATTTGACCCGGAGGCAACCAGTGCGCCTAATGACTTTGATATTTCCTTTTTAATGCGATCGGCCGGAGATAAGCTCAAAAGATCTTTGAACTCGCGGCCGGACCATAGACTTCTCTTTGAGCCGGATGAGTGGCAAGTAAAGCTGCTACAAATCGTGGATGCCGATGAATCCGCCGTGATCTGTGCCCCTACCTCAACCGGAAAGACTTTCATTTGCTACTACGCCATGGAAAGAATCTTAAGAGAAAGCAATGATGATGTAGTGATTTTCGTGGCACCAACGAAGGCTCTGGTCAACCAGGTAGCAGCCGATGTTTATGCCCGATTCGGATCTAAGCCTTATATTAAGCAGAACAATATCTTGCAGGGTATTTGCATGGGAGATTTCCAGATCTCGCCTTTTAACTGCCAGGTCCTGATTACCGTCCCAGAAGTGCTAGAGAAGATTCTGACTATGCCGCCCGAAACGAAAAAGAAGGAAAGACCATACCTAGAAAGACTTCGGTACATTATTATTGATGAAGTTCACAAGATCAGCGACAGCAAGATGGGAGCTAGTTTAGAAAAGATCATTCACTTTAGTCCTTGTCCTATTCTATTGCTTAGTGCGACTTTAGGTAATCTCAAGGAGTTCCACCGCTGGGTGCAATCGATTGAGGCGCAAAAAGGCCGCGAGTGCTTCTTAGTGCAGCATAAGGAACGATACTGTGAAATCAAAAACTATGTCTTTGTGCCTAAGAAGATAGAGAAGCTAACAACCTGCCATAAGACCACGCGTGAACTTGGCGAACCCTCTTTAGCTCTTATCCATAGCTTGTTTGCCTACTCGTTCCGAAACATCAAAGACGACGGATTTAGTGATGACGTGAACTTCCTTCCAGAAGAACTTCTCAATCTCTACTACGCCATCTTTGCCGTGCTGCGAAAAGACCAACGCCATCTAGTCAAGAAGTTCAGGCCGCAACGCTTCTTCACAACCAACTGCATTACCAAGAGTGACGTCAAGCAGTATGAGTCGCACGTAATTGAAACGTTCTGCAATCTAGTCAAGGACGGCCTTCTCGAGCCGCCACAAGTCTCTAAAATCTACGACATTCTTATCAGGGAGGCCAAAGAAGGCTTCCAAAAGATTGAGGCCGATCTAACCGCCAAGCTCCAGGCTTTCCAGAAGAAGCACCATCTAGAGAAGCTTGCTGCCACCGCTAGCACCACTACCAGTCCCCTTGAAGAACAAGAAAAAGACCAACCCAGTCCAGAACAGCTAGCAGATCTCCAGAACATGCAAATCTCTTCATTTGTTTCACCAGACATTATGCTCTACAACCTTGACTATCTTTTAGATAACATTCTTGACTTGGTTGTGGAATTAGAGGCTAAAAACATGCTGCCGTGCATTATCTTTAATTTGGAGCGAGTGGTTTGTAATGCACTGGCTATTCGACTAGTTGAAGAGCTTGATAAGCATGAAAAGATCGCTGATCCTATTCTAACAAAGAACGACCTCCGTGAGAATGAGAAGATCCTCAAAGAAATGAAACGAGCTCGTGATGCAGCCATTGCCACTGGGAAAGATTCCTGGATTGGCGAGTCAATGATTGCGGAAGAGATGTCCAGCCGGAATGTTGATCCTAACGCCAAAGACCCTCGTTTCTGCTTCACTGATCCCTCAACCGTTTCTTCCGGGGCCTACGTTCTTGATGAGTATGCCAAATCTCTTAAGAAAGCCGGCAAGATAGACAGTCGATTTATTCATGCGCTTTACCGTGGTATTGGTATCCACCATACCGGAACACCCAAGAAGTACCGAAATATGGTCGAAATCCTCTTCCGTATGAAGCAATTGCGTGTAATCTTTGCCACCGAAACTCTAGCTCTTGGTATCAACATGCCATGTAAGACCGCCGTCTTTGCCGGTGATTCACTTTCTCTCGATGCCATGGGCTTTAAGCAAATGGCCGGTCGAGCAGGTCGGCGAGGTTATGATACGCAAGGCAATGTCGTCTTCTTTGGTATTCCTAAACAGAAGATTCAAAGCTTGATTACTTCCTATCTACCCAACATCAAAGGATCATACCCCTACACCAACGCACTTTCTGTTCAGGCAGCTAGACCAACTACGCCCGCAGCAGTAGTTGATAGTTTTGTTCAGTTCCCGCTCATTTCCTTTGCCTATCCAGCCAAGGCCTTTGCCGGCACGGATACTGAGAGTGGACCGGAGTTCCGACAGAGACTACTTCTAGAACAAAAGAAGAACTTAATTGCCCACTCTTTCTTAGCTCCAGAGGTTCTTACCGCGGAGACTAAGAATCTAGCGCACATATCGGCTTTAGCCGATGTTCCTATCAGCAATCTTTCTTACGATGCTGAGTCCTTTGTGCTCATGGGCTTAATTAAGAAAGGTCTGTTGGACAAACTGTGTCTAGCTCCTTCTACCATTGAAGTGCCTGCTAACTCGAATGCTTTTAACCGGCCAGTTGATAAGGACGAAATTGCCAAGCGAATTATTCATTTATTAGCTAGTATCTTTGAGATCTATCCATTGCCCAAGGGCTCTGCTTTACGGCAGCTTGAACCCCTACCAGACTATCTTGATCAAGCTCTTCACCAAGCCCATGAGGAGAGTCTTTCTTTAGCCAAGCGGTTCATGTCCGAAACCGAAAAGGATCTATGCCGTGTTCTCCAAGACAAGTTCTCTCCCACCGTCGCCGCCTCTTCTTTCTTTGCTCTTCCGCACATCCATACGCCCAAGAGTGCCTATATTGTAGAGTACTTTGAGCAGGCCAAGGTCAGCAGTGTTCTCAAAAGCACGGGTATGGGCGAAACTGCTCTGTGGCAACGCCTCAAACGCATTGAAAACCTTCTTACTTCTCTCTCCGTCTATTATCACAAGTACCAACCAGACTCAGTCAGCGCATCTCATGTGGAGTATACCGAAAAACTCTTCCGCGAGCGTTTCGCCAAGATGCATGCTTAACCCAATAAACATCAACTTCATTTACATCACTTTACTCTTTCCCACTCTTCAACCCAATACACACCACACCACAATACATCATATCACAACACATCATATATCACAAACATAATACAACAAAAACCCAGCTTAACTCAGCACAACCACAATCACAAGAGATCATATCACAAACATAATACAACTCAACACAATACATCATATATCACAAACTCAACTCAACTCAATGCATCATATATCACAAATATAATACAATACTAACCCAATAGATCATATCACAAATACAACCACCCCACTCAACACAAACACAATTCAACGTAACACAATACAATATAACAAAAACCCCACACCACTCCACACAACCCAACTCCACTTCACCCCACTCCACACTAACTCCACCTCACCTCACTCCACACCACACAATGCAATTGAAGACTTTAAACTTTAAAATGTACCTCCGATGACTCACCCAACGCCATTAGACGTCCAGCTTAAAGCAGAGGTGGGTCCTATTTCTTCTTTTCTCTTTTGCTTTTTCATAGGATGACTACAACGCCAAGCATCGATCTCGACTGGGGAAGAAAAGGACCCAAAAAACCCCTCAATCGCACGCAACCCTACCAGCTAACCTTCTTCAGCAACCCCAAGAAAAGAAAAGTTGACGAAAAGTTGATTCTAAGCCATACGGACTCTTCAACTACTACTCGTTCTTCTCTTAAGTCTACTTCTAACGCCTCTTTCCTCTCCTACTTTACATTAGACAGACTTATCAAAGCAAACTACGTTATTTCTTCTTATCTTTCTCTTATTCTCAACTCATTCCTAGTCTTTCTATGCATGCTTTTGATCCTTAAGTTTATCATTTCTGTTAAAAACGATATCTCAATCAAAACAATCAAACAACTAGAAAAGAACAAACTCAAAATAGAAGAGTGCACTCGGCAGTACTTTCTTAATAAATGCGACCCAAGCGAACGAGTCCCAGCCCTAGAGGACAAGTGCAACGAATGGGCTGCCTGCATGCGCGCTGATCCTTTCCGAGAAGAAATAACCAAAGTAGTCTTCCAAGTAGCTAGTGATGCCATTGAAGAGTTTCTAACCGGAGTGTCTATTCGTTCAGTACTTATCTCCACTCTGGTTCTTTCCGTCCTACTTAAGATATTCCTATCACACACATCTCACCGAGTATCTCATCTTAACCACCCACCTCCACACAATATAACAACTACACTTCCTACTAGCAAATAACCAGCCTAGACTTCCTATTTATTAGATTAGCTTAGGTTTAGTTAAGATATACTAACCTAATTAGCTTAAGTACTTAGTGAGTTATAGCGTAGTGCACGGAAGGTTTAACTAGTACTGGAGTGTTATCAGCTAAAGAAAGAGTAAATGCAGGACGAGGACCTTCAGGCATGGGCTTAGGAGGAGCTACGCCAAACTTAGCGCGGTACTCATCTCTAGCCTTAACGTCCTTTTGGCAGTTGCTTGGTCGGACGTGCTCAATACGAGCAATTACTTGCTTAACTACTAATCGGTTGCCTATTTGTCTAGTCATTGCAATTCCAACTGAAGTATCAAAGACGGCATATACTCTTCCAGTTCTACCCACATACTTACTATGGGGCATACCTTTATGAACGGCTGAATCTACACTAATATCAACGTAATCTCCCCGTTTGTATTGGTGGAGAAGAGTAGATGTTTGGGGTGTTCCATGTGATCTATAGTCCTTCTTGAACTTATTACGAGTACTTCTTCTGTATCCTTTGCTTCTCATGCGGGGGTTAAAATAAAATACTAATTAAGTTATGTTAAGCTAAGTATTTGCTAAGTGGTGGTTTGGGAGGGTTTTGGGGTAGTTTGGGATAGTTTGGGGTGGTTAGTATTGGGTTTGGATGGCAACCGGATTAATTAGAGTGTTTAGGTCAGGAAGCGGTCCTATTTATACTACTGAACCTTATTTTATTAATTGCATGGGTTGTGATAAGATGGGTAGAGGTAGAGGTAGAGGTGGTATACATATATGTGCTTTAACTTATTAACTTGGTGTGGGTTAGGATTGACTTAGTTGATGTTGGCTTAGTTGATATATGAATAAATCATGAATTAGTACTACGTTATAGTCTTGCGCTGATATTAGGTGGGCTTTACGTTGTAATTAGTGATGCATTAGTAGATGGTTTATTTCGATTTGGTGATGCATCTAGCTCAAAGAAGACTACCACTTTCTACACCAACTCAAACTCAACTCAACCCAACCCAACTCAACCCAACTCAATTTACTTGTAAAGCGGATACTTCTTGAGCAGGCGACAGATGGGATCGGAAGGTGAAATAGGAAGAAGAGAAAGAGAAGTCGGTTCGTTCTCCGGCTGCTCAATCCAAAGACGGTGGGGTACTTTTTGCTCCTCTAGCTGCTTAGCTAGTTCTTGTATTTGCGCAAGTGTGCATTGCAAAACTATAGTAGTCATTTGCTCAGGATGCTTTAAATAAGAAAGACTGGCTGGTGTTGTAAGAGTGCTGAAGGCATAAAGCGTGCTATGAATGCCTTGTGCAATCAATGCCCCAGTTGAGTACTTAGTTAAGTCGTTACGGACTATGACGTAATGGCGATAGTCCATTTTTTCTTTTATTTTTAGTCCCCTGTATGGCGACTCCTAGATACTCAAAGCGAGCTGGATCTCCTCGTAGACCATTTGACAGCCAACGTTTAGTTAATGAAATGAAATACGTTGGAGAGTATGGACTTAAGTCTAAACGAGAATTAAGAGTCTTAGAGAAGATCTTTCATGATATAAAGAAGCGAGCAAAGGACTTGCTGATTCACACGGATGAAGACTACCAGATTGTGCAAGGCCGAGCCTTATTACATCGTCTGGAGAAACAAGGACTGATTGGCGAAGTTAACTTCCAATCCAAGAAAGACATTGTTTCTGAGCTAGAACGGGCCCTTGATTTGGAGATCACTAGCTTATTAGCCCGGCGGTTACAAACTAAAGTATCTGAGTTAGGTCTAGCTAAGAGTGTTCACGAAGCCCGAGTGCTAATTAACCAACGGCACATTATGGTTAATGGAGCTATCGTTAACAAGCCTGGGTACTTAGTGAATGCAGCTAATGAGGGACATATTGAAATCTCGCCTTACTCTGCTCTAGCCAAGGAGAGTGGTAAGCTTGGCCGAGTAGCTAAGAAGAACAAGCGAGCAGAAGCTGAATAAACATGCATGAGTTTAGTATTAATTGAGTTAAGTTAAGTTGTGTTAAGTTGAGTTTGAGTTGTGTTTGAGTTAGTGCTAAGTTAAGTTGATATTAAGTTGAGTTAAGTTGAGTCTGGATTGGGTTATGTGAATGCTAAACTCGCGAGTCTATCCAATTTGGCTTCTGTAAGAATCAAATGTTGCCCGCCAATCTTGCAACTCGTCGAACTTGCAATTTCAAAGCTATTTGCAGAAAGCGAAGCTCGTCACTTTCTGGCCCGAAATTGCGGATTCCGAGGCTGGCGAAACAGAATACAATAAAGATGCTTTATTTGAAAATCTAACAACTACTAGTTTAAAATATACACGGATAAACTATACTAACTCGAGTTAGTACTATTTTGCGAATGTTTTGAAAGTGGCTATCAACCCAAAAGAGAGATAGATACTTTCAGGTCTTTCGCTTTCTTCCTTTCTTATCTGAAAGGGCTTTAAAGTAACAAACTCTCCTTTTATTGTTTAATTCTTATCTCTTATCATATTCTATAGATATAAACAGATCTAGTATACTCGTTAACAAGAGGCCTTTATTCGTCCTGCTATTGGGTTAGCAATATGTTGTTCGGATCAATGTTTAGCAATAATGCATCTTGATCTATGCCTAACCCAAATCAATACTAACCACACGTACACCTCTTTACTCAAGTCTATTTGCCAGCACCTGTAGTATAGTTCCTGGCTCCGGCAAGTAAAAGCTCGTACCAGATTGCCATCTATTCTTAGTATTGTTATCATAACCCCATACCAACCCAAATACCAATCCAATACTAACTCCTTTACCTTTATACTAACCCAATACTTAACTTATCCTATCCAAGTACTTCTGTCGGTGTTGGCCAATGAGCCATATCCAACTCATGGTCATGAAAATACTAAAATGTCATCGGACACCTGTAATGAAGTGTTTAAGAGCCTGCCATCCTCATCAAAAGAATTGGGTTGAAGGTATTCAGTACAGCCTGTAACATAAACCTTTGTGGGGCTGTTAGACGGTTGTTTGCGTTTTGGAAGGTTAGTATCAATATCTAGGCATTCACAAGTTGAGAGATCTTTGCCTTTCTGGCTCCTATTGGGTTGGTATTGGTATTTTAGGTGTAATCTGAGGATGAATTTGTCTATCCAGTTGACATCGTTAAGAAAGTCTATCTTGATTAGTATTGGGGTGGAATAG